CCTTGTAGCGAGCCTCGGGGTCGGGAGGGGCCTCCGGCACCTGGGCCTGGGGCCTGGACTGCCTGTGGGGGGGTTGCCCAGCTGCATCTGTCCCGCCCACAGGGCGCGGAGAGCAGCTAAGGAAGCCAAGGAGGCCCCTGCCCAGCCCGCACCGGAGAAGGTCAAGGTGGAGGTGAAGAAGTTTGTGAAAATCGGGCGCCCAGGCTACAAGGGTGAGTCTGCGTGGGTGAGGCCAGCCCACAACTGCCGCCTGCAAGGGGGCTCTGGCTCTTGCAGGAAGCGCCCCCTGAGACCTTGTCCCTGGCCTTCAGGCTGGCCCCCAGCTCCCATGGCCCTTCTCCTGACCGAGCCAGGGTCCGCAGCCTCCACCCAGTCAGCCGCCCAAGTGCCTGGGGGTGTCACCGTGGGAATTATTGGCTCCAAGCAGACATTGGGGAGTGGGACCCCTGACACGTCTTTTCCTTGATCCTGAAACTGGCTCGTCTCGGGCAAAGGAGAAGGGAGAAGCAGGGTGTGTCTCAGAGGTGGTGTATCAGGGCCGGGAGGCCACCCAGCAAGGGTCCCGCAGGAGCTGGGCATCCCCCGTGTCCAGCTTGTATGCAGACAGCACCTGACATGCACAGGCTGGGGGCAGGCTGCTGGGCCCTGATAACGTCCCGGGTTTTCCCCCTGGGGAGCCGGGCCCGGGGGTGTGAAGGGCCCTGAGTGACCAGGAGGGAGGCAGCGGCTTCTTGTGCCCTGGCAGCTGCATGCTGGGGCAGGGGAGAATGTCACTCTTGCTCTCGCTCCCCCACGCCCAGTGCCGAGTTCAGGCCTCTTGCGTCCCACAGGGAGGGGCTGCAAGCAGCCCTGGGGGTGGCGTTTCCCCGGGGTCTAGGCACAGGTGTGGCAGGGGCTGCGGCCCTCGGGCACTGGAGCCTTCACCTTAGCACCGGCCCTGAGCCTGGGTGGACCCTGGCCCCCGGCCCCCTCGGCCCCGCCCACTCAGCAGGCGGGCTAGACCCTCAGGGTTCCTGGGCTCTGAGGACCACGGCCCGTGTGTTGCAGTGACCAAGCAGAGGGATTCGGAGACCGGGCAGCAGAGCCTCCTTTTCCAGGTGAGGCCCACCTCGGGGTCGGCGGGGAGGAGGGGTGGGGCCTGGCGCCCCTGATCGGCAGGCTGCCTGGCTGCCTCCCTGCAGATCGACTACCCCGAGGTTGCCGAGGGCATCATGCCACGCCACCGCTTCATGTCCGCCTACGAGCAGAGGATCGAGCCCCCTGACCGGCGCTGGCAGTACCTGCTGATGGCGGCCGAGCCCTACGAAACCATCGCTTTCAAGGTGCGCGGTCCTGGCAGGGCTGGGGGATCTCAGTGGGCCCTGCCTTCTGGGAGGGCTCATCATGTGGTGCCCACTGCATGTGGAAGCCTAGTGCCGATGGTGGGCGGAGCCCAGTTCGAGAGGCTGAGCCAAGTCACCACCTCTGGGCCAGGTGACTCCAGCGTCCACTGTGGCCTGCGCTCCATGCTGGACAGGGCAATGTAAGCAAGTAACACAGCGGGTGTGGTGGCTCAGGCCTGTTGCCCCACGACTTTTGGAGTCTGAGGCAGGAAGATCACGAAGTCAGGAGTTCAAGACCAGCCTAGGCAACACAGCAAGACCCCAGACTGGAGTGCAGTGGCATGCTCTCGGCCAGCGCAGGGCTCAGGCAATCCTTCCACTTCAGCCTTTCAAGTAGCTGGAACTGCAGGCATGTGCCACCACCCCAGTTAATTTTTTTGTTGTTTTTATTGTAGAGACAAGGTCTTGCCAAGTTGTCCAGGCTGGTCTCGAACCCCTGGGTTCAAGCAATCCTCTTGTCTCGACCTCCCAAGGTGCTGGAGTGATAGGCTTGAGCCACCGCACCTGGACCCAATTTTTTTTTTTTTTTT